ATAGCATTTGTTTTTTCAAGATTAGAGACAAACTATAGTGTTCTATCCGATTCTTTGTGCTGCATTGTACTATCTTTTTTAATTTTCTAATCTTCTAATTCTAAATTTTCTATCGAAATCATGTATAATACATGGCATTTGAAATATTGACTAATTTCCTGATACCATCAGGTAATCATCAGGTAAAGTACCATCAGGTAAAAGTGGCCAAAAATTGATCAGGTAAACCTGGTCAAAAAATGATCTTTGAGATTGTTATATGGTAAACATCATTTTGATAGAGAATTTAACTGCAAGTTTAACGGCGCATACCGTTTTGAAGCTTGTTGCATAGTTTGTCTATAAATCGAGTTTTAGAGATGTTTTCCTCCTCCCCCTCCCCCTAGTAATTTTGAAGTTTTTACCGATTTAAAGACAAACTGCACAGCGGCCGTGCAAAGCGTTTGCGTTGTTATACTCGTCGTTGAATTCTCTGTCGACATGATGTACGATATCTTTTTACGTAAAACAAATAAAATCTTGGTTTAGGAACAGTTAAATGCTAGCGTTTATTCCTTTCAATTTTTTTTATTCGCGGGCTGTTTGAAGCTAGTCCACAGTTAAACAAATTTGGCTCCGTGTTTATGATTTACTTTGTTTATGTCTTCTTTACGAATTTTTGGAGTTTATTATAAAAACAGAAAGTCAGGATTAGAACACCTCGTTAGATTAAAAACCTAATATAACCTAAAAAAAATATATATTTTTAATTATAAGAGTTGTTTACGTCGCTAACAGAACAATATTTGTAATATGAAATATAAATATATAAAATCTATAAATGTATAAATTCTATAAACTTTACAAATAGCTATGCTATTAAAAACAAAAAGATTTAAAAACTAATATAATAAAATAAGTTGCTAATCTTTTAAAGCACAAATCCTTGTAAAAACGTAAACAAAAGAGGTTTATTCAAATATAAGTAAATTAACAAAACACAGTTATTTTCCTTGAGTACTTCTTAGTGCTCTCATTATACTTCTAGCTTCTGCTACGAAGTTGCTGAAGTTTGAGTTTTTATTTTGTTTATACTTGTTGTGCATATTCTTAAGGATCCATCGAATGCCTTCCCATTCAATGTCGCTGTAAAGGTCTAACAAAAAAGACGATTCTTGGAGCTTTACTTCCTCGTCTCTCCAAACTGTAAAGAAAACAGTTTAAGAATTAGGTTTCAAATATACCTTACGATAATAAAGTTCAAAGTAAATTTATTGTGTAAGATTATCTAACTTACATTCACGTGTAATCTCACCAGCCGTTATTAGTCGTTCACCGACCAATGCAATTGCTAAAAGTGATAAACGACTGTTCTTGGAACTTCTTGTTTTGTAGAAGTCGTTGGATTGAGGTTTAAAAGGTTGGACTGAGCTTTAAATATATTTTTATACGTTCAGTTAATTAATAATTATTTTTATTACTACTTTTTTATACATAGGACTTAACTTTGTACATAACTTTTACACACGAATGCATTTTATTATATGAATGTATATAAGTAATGTTTTTTCTGTACCATGCAATTCTGAAATTTGTAATTCTTTTTGAAAGTCTACATCATCTAAAACAAATACATGGTTTTTAAAATCACATACAAGTTACAAAAATATATGTAAAGCGAGTCAGTAAACAATATATCTAACTAAAACTACGTTCGCTATTATCCTCAATAATTCGGATCTTTTTCTTTTTTGGCAATTCTTCCGAGGCTTCAAGAGACCAAATCTTATCTCAAAAAAAAAATAAATGCTTTAACACTAATCTTCTAATAAAGTAAATATTTGAACAATTTGTAAAAGTTTTATACCAGATACTTCATTACAAGAGCATTGACCTGTCGGTTTTTTGTTAGCTTCAGTTTGATTGGACGTTTCTTAAAAAAATGTAAAGCTGTTAGGTATTTGTAAATTATCTTAAAAAAAAAAAAAAATAATACTCATACTTAGATTTAAAAGACAACCTGGTAATGTTTCATCCGCACTTTCTATGTCTAAAAAATTGCACAGCTCCTGGTCGACGTAACTCGTCCCGGGGAATTCTTTTTCTATTGTTCTACTGTTTTTGCCAACCCAATCTGAAAAAAAATGAAATTGAAAAACTTAAAAGTGTTTACCTAGCCCTATGCATAATTAATAAATTACTGTGATTAGTTATAAAACAAATTTTTACACAAAAAACAAACAAGCATATATTTTTATTATGTCAGCATAGGATAAAAATCTACGTTTGTTTTCTTACTTAACTTTAACATCGGAAGGTGTGGGTTTTACTTTCATGACATTTCGTAGTACATCAAATTGGGTTCCTACTTTCCAGCTATGAAGGGCGGCAGTTCTCAGAGCAAATCGGGCCAAGTAAAACTTCAGTGTTGTAGTTGTTTTGTGTTTCATGTAGATCTAAAAATTGTATGATCATACTGTTATAAAAAGTTTTTTTTATATAATAATACTTTATGATATCAACCTAGATAAAAAAATGTAGCACTTACACGAGCAAAACTATTTACATTCTCGTCACCAAGACCACACATTTCTGTCGCAATACTTATCCTGATCCTTGTCGGACAAACACGGTCGTTATTGAATTCACTGTCAACATCTAACAATGCTTTCGATTTTCTAAAAGATGTGCTCATTCCGTTTTCAATTGCGGAATGAGTTAGAACATCTGACCTACTTGAAATGAAAAGAGGGTCCTCAGGGAAACACCCATTTTTTGGATTAATACCGCTTCTGTGATATTTAAGGTATTTCAGTAGCTCATTTTTAAGGGTTTCATCCAAAAGTATGACCTTAATGCCATACAGCATACTTGTTTTATATAATTCATTTTGGATGACCCAGCCATTTTGAAGTTCTTAGCTGGGAACCATTTTATCGACATCTCCAATAGATATTGAAATGAGATTGGAGGACCGTGTTGCATTTACAAGGCAGATCATTACCATAAGGTAATCGCGTATATTAATGCACTCCTTTTTGGAGAGTTTTACATTGCCAGACAGTAACTTTCTAATTTTTTTTACATGATCAGATGAAAAATATGTCTTAACAATCTTCGTTGTGAGTACTGTTGCTTGTTTGAAAAAACGAATATTTTGTTCTCTTTTTTTATTAAAAATTGTTACCGAGTTATTTATTTATTTTACTTTAGCTTTTACAATGTCGATGTCATCGATTGTTAGGCCGGCATAACAAGTCCGTGCTTTTAAAAAATCTAAATATAAAATAACTGAATATCGATTTAATATAAGGGTTCTCGGTTGAATGTTCGAGGACTGGCAAGACATCGGTAACGATTGCTGCTCTTTAATTACTTTGATTAAAGGAGCAGCATAAAAATCTTCTAACAAGTTAGCATCGGCTAACAGGCACTTAGGCACAGTTTTTAAACTAGGAGCAATTTTCTCCCATATGTACAAAACATTAGATGAGTGATTTGAAACGCCTAAATGTTAAATAGACAATGTGAGATTTAAATAATTAGATTAAATTATTCATCATTTTGGTTATAAAATGACTATTTTCCTTAGTCGTTATAATGTCTTGAAAACTTTAAGTATCTTTTAAAGTCTAAAATGGCGTTCACGCCACTTTGATAAAAATATTTAAAAGATGTATTTGCTATTTTAAATTTTTTTTTGTCGAAAGCTGTTAATTCATTCGCGTGCTGCAAAACAGCAACGCCTTTCGAAGTTTCTAGATTTGAACCGTGCTTTCATAAATAGTTATTAGAAATTTATAAAATGAACTGATCTAATTAAAAAATTTACACGTTATAAAACAAAAGTTAGTCAGGGTTAGCAATATACTCGCTTAGCAAACTTGTTGTTTTGAGTATAAACAGGGTTAACAACAGGGTTTTTAAACTGCTTCGGTAAGATTACTTCTAAACAAAAAATGTTTTATATTTGTTTTTACAAAAACAGAAGAAAATAAATAAAAATGACGTGCTATAACACTAACCATCTACAATTTCATTATCTTCTTCATCTTCGTTTATTGAAGGCAAAATGCTCAAAGGCCTGCTTTGAGGAATCTTAGGTTTTATTTTAGCTAAATATAGATGTAAAGTTTTTAAATTTATAGTTACTTTTAACCTGGTTGCTATTGTATTAAAAAATAATTACTTTTGGTGTGGACGCCAGCCTCCAGTTTGTTAATAAACTTAACGGTGTTTTCTTTCGAAACTTTAGTATTTCTTTAATATCTTCACTATAAAGAAAATATTAGTGTAATAAAATAGAACATGCAAAACTCTGTATTTCTGTAAAAAGACTATAGGTCAACCTGCCGCAAATATATTCATGCTGTATTGTCTGGTGAATGTCTAATCGATCATGAAAATCATTGCAGCTTGAACACAGCAACGGCCAAAGCTTATTTTTAACAATCTAAATAAATATAAGAATGCATAACTTTTCTAATAAATGTTTTAATTTATTTAATCAACAAAAACAAAAAAAATTTACACTTTTGTTATGTGATTATAATATCGCACATAATAAGAGGCTAGCTACTTGGCCTCCTCATCCTTTACTTTATGTTTTGACACTAAATGTCTTCGTAACCTTGTAGTTTGCGTTTTGCTATTTTCTATGGTACATTTGATGGTGTACTCATTTCGCATACCAACTTTGACATACTTTACCTAATAAACATCATTTTAAATTACAAAAATCATTCAACAATAATTACTACTTGAGTAAAAATTAATAAATACATATTTTGTTTATATCACCAAATGTGAATGCAAGCTCCTTTTCAATTTCCTCAGTCCTCTTCTGAAATTCTATTTTGCAAATTGACTCACTTTCTTTAGTGCAATGCTGTTTTAATAAGAGTTTTACTCGGTTGTTAGGGTGATAATTCGATTGTCCTACGTAAAAGGAGTTCAACGCCATACTAGTTCGTTCCGTATTAATATTACACGTCAATTGTTCGTTATCTGATTGATCAGATTCATCGTCAGAGGTTTTTGAGGCTTTTTGAATTCGACCTTTCAGGGATAGATTTATAGGAGAGGGCGGGACAACATCTTTTAGGGTAGAGCTGATCCTCTATCGAATTGATGTATCACATGTGACGGCTGCTGTATGGTTTGTCTCTAATTAACGTTTTTCTGTAGTAGCCCTTTGCTTTTTTGCATTTGTTTTTTCAAGATTAGAGACAAACTATAGTGTTCTATCCAATTCTTTGTGCTGCATTGTACTTACCGTTAAATTTTCTATCGAAATCATGTATAATACATGGCATTTTGATAGAGAATTGAACTGCGAGTTTAACGGCGCAAATCGTTTTGACGCTTTTTAAATAGTTTGTCTATAAATCGAGTTTTTGCGATGTTTCCTCCCTTCACTCTGGTTTTTTCGAAGTTTTTACCGATTTAAAGACAAACTGCACAGCGGCCGTGCAATGCGTTTGCGTTGTTATACTCGTCGTTGAATTCTCTGTCGACATGATGTACGATATCTTTTTACGTAAAACAAATAAAATCTTGGTTTAGGAATAGTTAAATGCTAGCGTTTATTCCTTTCAGTTTTTTTTCTTCGCGGGCTGTTCGAAGCTAGTCCACAGTTAAACAAACTTGGCTCCATGTTTATGATTCTCATTGTTTATGTCTTCTTTACGAATTTTTGGAGTTTATTATAAAATTATAAAGTCAGGGTTAGAACACCTCGTTAGATTAAAAACCTAATATAACCTAATAAAAATATATATTTTTAATTATAAGAGTTGTTTACGTCGTTAACAAAACAATATTTGTAATACGAAATATAAATATATAAAATCTATAAACTTTACAAATAGATATGCTATTAAAAACAAAAAGATTTAAAAACTAATATGATAAGTTAAGTTGCTAATCTTTTAAAGCACAAATCCTTGTAAAAACGTAAACAAAACAGGTTTATTCAAATATAAGTAAATTAACAAAACACAGTTATTTTCCTTGAGTACTTCTTAGTGCTCTCATTATACTTCTTGCTTCTGCTACGAAGTTGCTAAAGTTTGAGTTTTTTATTTTGTTTATACTTGTTGCGCATATTCTTAAGGATCCATCGAATGCCTTCCCATTCAATGTCGCTGTAAAGGTCTAACAAAAAAGACGATTCTTGGAGCTTTACTTCCTCGTCTCTCCAAACTGTAAAGAAAACAGTTTAAGAATTAGGTTTCAAATATACCTTATGAAAATAAAATTCAAAGTAAATTTATTGTGTAAGATTATTTAACTTACATTCACGTGTAATCTCACCAGTCATTATTAGTCGTTCACCGACCAATGCAATTGCTAAAAGTGATGAACGACTGTTCTTGGAACTTCTTGTTTTGTAGAAGTCGTTGGATTGAGGTTTATCATACACTAATGAAAATAGAAAAGTATATATTATTATAGTTTAAATTATGTTTTATTTAAAAAACTTTTTTGTATATTTTATAGATTTTTGAAAAATTATAGTTATGTAAAGTAACCCTTTATAATATCCGCTTTTGTCATTCTTAATAAAACGTGATGATCATCAATCAAATCGCTATGATCTACTATAAACATGAGTAAGTTACAGTAAAATTAACAATACTAAAATGGAAATGAATTTAAAACAATAATAAATAAATATATTACCTTCAACAACGTCAGCAATGCTTTCTATTTCACCTAAAAAAGTTATATAATATTTAGATAAATGTTATTCAGAAAGATGATATGCATTTTATATTTAAAAATATATTTTATTTACATTATGACACAACCGAAGCTGCTTTTCCCTTAACCACAATTATATCGTCACATTTCTTATCTAAATATATTTTTATACGTTCAGTTATATAATAAATATTTTTAATACTCTTTTTTTATACATTGGACTTAACTTTATACATAACTTTTACACACGAATGCAGTTTATTATATGGATGTATATAAGTAATGTTTTTTCTGTACCATGCAATCCTGAAATTTGTAATTCTTTTTGAAAGTCTCCATCATCTAAAACAAATACATGGTTTTTAAAATCACATACAAGTTACAAAAATATATGTAAAGCGAGTCAGTAAACAATATATCTAACTAAAACTACCTTCGCTATTATCCTCAATAATTCGGATCTTTTTCTTTTTTGGCAATTCTGCTGAGGCTTCAAGAGACCAAATCTTCTCTAAAAAAAAATTGTAAATGCTTTAACACTAATCTTCCTATAAAGTAAATATTTGAATAATTTGTAAAAGTTTTATACCAGATACTTCATTACAAGAGCATTGACCTGTCGATTTTTTGTTGGCTTCAGTTTGATCGGACGTTTCTTAAAAAAATGTAAAGCTGTTAGGTATTTGTAAATTATCTTAAAAAAAAAAAAAATAATACTCATACTTAGATTTAAAAGACAACCTGGTAATGTTTCATCCGCAATTTCCATCTCTAAAAAATTGCACAGCTCCTGGTCGACGTAACTCGTCCCGGGGAATTCTTTTTCTATTGTTCTACTGTTTTTGCCAACCCAATCTGAAAAAAAATGAAATTGAAAAACTTAAAAGTGTTTACCTAGCCCTATGCATAATTAATAAATTACTGTGATTAGTTATAAAACAAATTTTTACACAAAAAACAAACAAGCATATATTTTTATTATGTCAGCATAGGATAAAAATCTATGTTTGTTTTCTTTCTTACCTTTAACATCGGAAGGTGTGGGTTTTACTTCTAGGACATTTTGTAGTACATCAAATTGAGTTCCTACTTTCCAGCTTTGAAGGGCGGCAGTTCTCAGAGCAAATCGGGCCAAGTAAAACTTCAGTGTTGTAGTTGTTTTGTTTTTCATGTAGCTCTGTAAATTGCATGATCATATTGTAATAAAGAAATTTTTCATTTTATATTATTGACTTAAATAAAAAATATACCTACACGAACAAACCTGTCGACGTTCTCGGCACCCAGACCACACATTTCGGTGGCAATACTAATTCTGATTTTTGTCGGACAGACGCGATCGTTGTTAAACTCACTATTAATATCCAGGAGGGCTTTAGATTTTCTAAAAGATGTGCTCATCCCGTTAGCAATTGCGGAATGAGAAAGCACATATGACCTGCTGGAGATAAACACTGGGTCCTTTGAGGAACATCCGATTTTACTATTAATTTTACTTCGGTAACACTTGATGTACATCTTTACCTCATCTCTTAGAGTTTCATCGAGAAGTATTACTTTGTTTCCATACTGGCAACTTGGCTATTTCCTGGCTATTTCCATACTGATAATCTGGCTGTTTCTGGCTGAGCACCATTTTATTAACGTCTCTAATTGATATTGATATCAGATTGGAGGAACGTGTGGCGTTCACCAAGCAGATCATCACCATCAAATAATCGATACACCCAGTTTTACTGAGAGTATTATTTGTTAAGAGTGGTTTTCTCATTTTTTTGACGTGCTCAGAAGAAAAATACGCCTTTACAATGTTCGTTGTGAGCATGGTGGCTTGTTTATAGATACGGACATTTTGATCTTTTTTTTTTTGTTAAAAATTGTAACTGAATTCGATATTTGTTTTACTTTGGCCCTCACAAACTCAATATCATCCATTGTGAGGCTAGCATAACATGTTCTAGCTGTTAAAAAATCTAGAAACAAAACAATCGACGAAAGCTTTGAAATAAGGGTTCGCGGTCGGATATGTAAGCTCTGTCATAGGCAGCGACTGCTGCTCTTTAAATATTTGAATTAAAGGAGCAGCATGAAAATCCTCTAACAAGTTGGCATCAGCCAACAGGCACTTTGGCACAGTTTTTATTTTTGGATCTATTTTTTGCCAAATATACACAACGTCAGAGGAGTGGTTTGATGCCCCTAAATGTTAAATAGACATAATAATTATTCAACATTTTGTTTATAAAATGATTGTTTACCATTCTCGTTGTAATGTTTAGAAAACCTTAAGTATCGCCTAAAGTCTTTTATAGCGTTCATACCGGTGTCAAAAAGATATTTAAATAATACATTAGCAATTCTAAAGGTTTTTTTATCGAACGCAGTTAATTCTGAGGCATGTTGCAACACAGCAACGCCTTTCACGCGACTAAGATTTGCATCGTGCTTTCCTAAATAATAATTAGAAATTTATAAAAAAATTGATGTAATTTAAAAAGTTACACGTTATAACTGGTTATCGACAGGGTTAACTACACTGCTGGATTGTTGAGATAAAATATCTTCTAAACGAAAAATGTTTTATTTTCGTTTTTACAAAAAGAAAAGAAATTTAAAAAAATTAAAGTGCTACAACACTAAGCATCTTCAATTTCATCATTTTCTTCAACTTCAGATACAATTGGCAAAACGCTGGAAGGCCTGCTTTCAGGAATCATAGGTTTGGTACGGACATAAACCGCCATTTTATTAATAAAATTAACAGTGTTTTTTTTTTTTATTTTGAAAACTTCAGTATTTCTTTCATGTCGTCACTATAAAAAAAAACGTTAGTGTATTAAAATAGAACATTCAAAACAATATTTCAATATGAAGATCAGAGATAAACCTTCCACGAGTATACTCATGCTGTTTTATCAGGTAGATGTCCAACCTGTCATGGAATTCGTTGCAGCTTGAGCAGAGCAACGTCCAAGGCTTATTTTTAACAATTTAAATAAATACAAGAGTTAATAACTTTTTGAGTAATAGTTTAATTTTGTTTAATTAGCAAAAACAAGATTATACTTTTGTAAAATGATTGTAATACCGAACATAGTAGGAGGCAAGCTGCTTTGCTTCATTATCTTTTACTTTGTGTTTTGAGACTAAGTGTCTCCGCAACCTTGTCGTATGCGTACGACAATTATCTTTAGAACACCTTACTCTATACTCATTTCTGGTTCCAACCCGCACATACTTTACCTAATAAACACAATTTAAATTACAAACATTCTTTAACATTATTACTTATTTATAAAAAATCAGAAAATAGTTACTTTGTTAACATCACCAAATGTGAATGTTAACTCTTCTCTAATTTCTTTCATGCGCTTTTTAAATTCTCTCTTGCATGCTGCCTTGCTTTCTTCAGAACAATGCTGTTTTAATAGAAGATCCACTGGCATGTTTGGATGGTAATTCGATTGACCGATGTATAGGGAGTTCAAGATTGACCGTGCACGTTCAGGATTTATATTTTGTGTAAACTGATCGCAATCTGATTGGTCAGATTGTTCAGAATTGTTAGAGGGTTGATATTTTTTTCGACTTACACTTTTATTTCTTAGGGTTAGGGGACTAGGTGGAACTACATCAAGGTCAAGGGTTAGGGCTGTTATCAAGCGGTTCTTCTATGCTTTCCACAGAATCCGATAACTCGTTGTCAGGGTCAGACATAGACTCGCTTGCTGGTTCGTCAGGTTTTGCACTTGCAATGTTAATCATAGTACTTATAACTGTAGACTTTTCTTGAAATTTAAGTTTTTTGTTTTTCAACAAAACCTCTGTTAATGTCTTTATTTGTTCTGATAACAGGCACTCTTTACAAAGTTTTTTGTTTAAAAATTTTTTAGAAGAATTGCAATTCATACACAGAGTATCCATTGTTGTTATATCAATCTAAGTGCAATTCAAAATAAATTTATTTTTTAATAAAACGTCATAATCATACACTTATAAATGTTAGTTTATAAAAATAATTTAATAAAGTGTCAAATTAAAAAAATACTTACCATTAACTTAAAAAATAGAGTATAAATAAAAATAACAAATTATTAAACATCAAAAAGTATATAATACCTACCACCACATAATACCAACACAGTGAGTACCAGAACTAAAAAAGACGTTTTTTAGAAATATAACAAGAAGAGGTTGAAGGTTTGCTGCACTATTAAAATAGTTTATAGAAATAATACAAAAATACAAACAAGAAAAGCTTATTAAAGTAGAGAAACCTGGGAAATTCTCTTCTGCAATTTCCATATCTAAGAAATTGCTAAGTTCCTGATCGTCGTATTTTACCCCAGGAAATTCTGTTGCAATTTTTTTGGTATTGCTACTCACCCAATCTAAACATATTTGAAAGCATAAACATCATTTAAAAATAATTAAACATGTCTCTTACACCTTTTAAACTTTTAATCTTCTAAACTTCTTAACATTTAAATTTTTAAACTTTTATACTAACTTTTAATATCTGTTGGAGTCGGCTTCATTTTTAGTGCATTTCTGAGCACTTCAGACTAAGAACCGACTCTCCAACTGTGAAGAGCGGCCGTTCTTTAAGCAAATCTTGCAACATAAAACTTTGGTTTAAAAGTCGTGGTTGGTTTATTCTTTATATTGTTCTATAAGTTATATAATTAAAAAGGAGTTATATTTTTTTGAAAAAACTACTTTCAAGTACAAACAAAAAAAAGAATTATAAACTCACGCGACCAAAACTGTCAACATTTTCATCTCCTATTCCACTGATGATACATGTATACAAGTTTTTTATAAAAAAAAATTAAAAATACAAGAAACTTTTTTTTCTTTTAAAAAAGGGGGGAGGGGGTAGTTATAAAAAAAGTAAAAATAAAAAAGAGGGGTAAAAATTTTCGGGGTAAAAATTTTCCGAAATATAAAATAAGAAAGAAACTTGGGTTAGAGGGTTAAGGGGGTTAGGGGTTAGGGGTTAGGTGGGCTAGGTAGGTGTCAGGGTAGGAGGGGTAGGGGGAGGGAGTTGGGGGAACATAAAAACATAAATCAAGTGATAAGCAGGTAGGTTAAAAAATCAATGTTATTGGGTGTAATCAGTGTGTGTGAAAATAGGCGTTATCAGGTGTCAAAAGGTGTTAAGGAGGTAAGCGGAATGTGTTAAAAAATATATATATAAACCGTTAAAATATGTTAAATAAATAAAGTAAAAAAAAAAAATTTTTTATTTATTTCACGTGTGTTTTTAAATTTTATTTAAAAAATGGTTCGAGACAAAAAATCTGTGCGACATTCTGTACAATATATAAAAGAACAAGAGGAAAACAAAAGATACGTAGCCAATTTGTTTCGTCGTTTAAAACAACCTAGCGCCAACCAAGCTCAACAAAATAACTCGGACGTGGACTTTGTTGTGGAAAGAGGTAACGATTCACCTAATACTCGATCAGGGTTAATGTGCAAAAGAAAAACAAAAC